TATATTTTTAAATTCCAGTTCTATTTTTTTAGAAACTCAATATAAACAAGTTCTAAAATTTTCATGGAATAATAAATGTCCTTGGCAAGCTAAGCCATCCTTTAAAGAGATGAAAGAGGGACCAGTGTTCGATCGGATACTAAGACAAACCGTGTAGTCAGAGTAATGAAAATAGTGTGGTATTGACTCGGGAACAAACAGAATAATGGGAGAGGACAGTGTGCTTAGGCACAAAAATTCACTGCATAATGAAGGTGTGGCACTACAAATGAAAGGGCTCAGTGTTGTTTGGTAAATGGCGGTTGCTCATTTTACGGAGAAAATGCTGTATCACTAGATAACATCACACATTAAAGTGGCTTCTAGGTGTGTGTGAAAGGCCTAAAGTAAAAGCAAAGGTTAATAATTAAGGACTACATGGATAAAATGAATAGCAGATGACAGAATAAGAGTAGGTATTTGTAATTTCTAAAATCAGCAATGGATTCGTATCTAGACTATGCAAATCATTAAGAAAAAGATAGCAGCTCTCATTAAGAAATGGGCAAAGCTAGGAGCAGGAATCAAGAGAGGGTGAAACCTACACCCCTAACTACTGCATGATGGCAATCTCCAACTTATTAATACTCAGAAAATGAAATTAAACGGTATATTTATTTACACCAAGTAGGCTGGTAACATTTTTGAAAATGAGTAATGCAAGTTCAGTAGGCTTGAGATGGTGTGGGTACTACAGACAGAAGTGTAGCTAGGGTGGGCATTTTTTAAAAGCAACTTGCCAATACGACAAATTAAGCTTAAAATATCTTGACCTAGCCACCTTGCTTGGGGGTGGGGGTGTCTATTTACCAAAGAAATTCTCAACCTCCAGTTCTCTGGATTTGAGTCAGCAGCCTGCCATACTGCCTGCCTTGAGAGTCCTGAGCTGCCTGCCTCTTACTTGCTGATCTTAGCTTCTGCAGCTAGACGTTTGCTCTCGGACCTACTGATATGGGGGGGCAGCTACTGGAGTCTTACAGGAGTCTCCTGCCCACAGACTTACAACTTGCTAGCCTCTATTACTGTGTGAGTCATTTCTTTGATATAAAACTTTCTATAGATACAACTATAAGCATCATTGGTTCTGTTTCTGTAGCTCAGCGGTTCTCAACCTATGGGTTGCGACCTCTTTGGTGGTTGAACGACCCTTTCAAAGGGGTTGCCCGATTCATAACAGTAGCAAAATGACAGTGATGAAGTAGCAATGAAAATAATGTTATGGTTGGGGTCACCACCACATGAGGAACTATATTCAAGGGTCGCAGCATGAGGAATGTGGAGAACCACTGGTCTAGAGAAGCCAAAGACAGTAACCAATAGAGAAAGGTCACACACTTAGAAGCAGAGGCAAGAGAAGGGAATCTCAGGGGCAGGAAAGCAATCATTGCTGTGCAAACTTGGGAGCAGCACATTCACGTTATCCATCAACACTGGTGTTAAATGGTGGGATCAGAATCTGGAAAGTTATTCCTAACAAATGTAGGAACTGAAATTTCAGGAGCTCTCTGAAGAATCAGAGAAAAATGCGTGGTGGGCTAGAGATGAGATCTGGAGAGCCCACACTGACCGTTGTGGCCAGCCCACAGGTGAGTGGGTTAAGCAGGTAATCGTGGAAAGAGATGGATGGGGAGAGACAAAGGGATCCTTGAGAAAGGGGTCTGCAAAACAGGCTTTGGATAGAGAAGAAAGAGCTTGTATTAATGCACTTACAGAAAAAAGATTTTGGTGTCCAGGGTAATTAGAAGCAAGAAGGTATACATGGTCAGAGTGATCATTTTAAATGCCAGTTTCCCCCTAGAAAACCTATTTTCTGTGATACTCCTTAGCTTAAAGTCCTTAAGTGACTTGGCAAGCCAGTTGTTCGTTTCCCTCGAGTGGCCCCTGACTCACAGTGACATCACGTGCGGAGAAAGACAGGCATGCCACAATTTTCACAAAGGACAACAACCGCAGTTAGTTGTAGCGGAGCAAAACGAACACTGTGAAAATATTTCTAGAGATACCCAAGTGGACAGCACTAAGAGATATTTTCAGCAAATACCCACAGCAAACCCCAGTGGTGGTGCGGGTCCAGCCAGACGACTGCAGTGTGGCACACACACACACACACACACACACACACACACACACACACGCACGCGCGTGCTTTGGCTCCTTGATGCACATAAAAGTGTACATTGCACTGACTGCAGGCGAGGAAGTCACAGCATCATGAAAAGTTTGGAACGTGAGGATGACAAAAATGCGACAGGCACAGAGCGCGCGCAGGCTATTGGGAAAGGGGGCCAGCGGAGAGCTGCCATAGACCTTTCCTTTGTGCAACGCACGGTGTCTGCAAAGACGATAGAGTGAATTGTAATAACATGAGGTGTGCCTGTGGTGAATCTGATAAGGAGTTTCCTCTCAATGACCCCAAAAATTATCAAGAAAATTAGTTGCCTGGAATCAGAATGCTCAATATATTATTTTTAAATTATTTTTAGAAGGATCCAACTACAGTGTTAACTGTGGTCAGCTATAAAATGGCTCGGGTTCTTGAAGACATGCATTAAAAAAAACCATTTTCATAGATGGAGTTATGGCAACAGATGCTTTTAATTCAGCTATGGAAATTTTATTGAAAAATGAAAAGACTGAAAAAATATATATTCTACAAAAGTGAAAGATCTTTAACCATCATTTGAATTGCCTATAGAATATAACACTGAAGCTAATAATATCAAAGATGTTTTGACTCAAATTTTGAAAATTTGCAAATATTTATTTCTACTTTCAAATAGTTTAATATGAGTGGTGCTGATCAAAGAATAATTTTTCAACTGTGAATTTTATTAATTTTAAATATAGATCAAGTATCCAATGAAATTTTGGTATCTGCAGTCAAATGCTCTACCACTGAGCTATACCCCTCTGAAATTTTGGTATCTGAATGGAGAAAATCTGTAAGTGTAAAATACACACTGGATTTCAATGTTTTTGTGTGGATAAAAAATGCAAAATATCTCATTTGATAATTTGAAATATCAATTACAAGTTAAAATGACAACATTGTAGAGTACTGAACTGAATAAACATTAAAATTAATGATTCATTTCTTTATAGGTTTTGAGGCTATTAAAAAGTTTAAATTATATATGAGGAACAAACTATATTTCTATTAGACAACACTAGAGAATACAAAAACACAGTTTACTACTATAAGGCACTTACCATCTGGGAGAGAAAGATTAGATCAAAAAGAACCAGAGAAGTTGCCAAAGGATCAATAAAAATCCAAGACAACTAGGTGGCAAGTCATACTCATAAGGAAGACCAGAGAGCTCAAGAATCAAGTTTAGTATTAAGGCATTTGTGGCAGCAAGGGCAGAAGTTAATCAAACTATATTAAGTTATGTCAATAAAATAAGACAGTAAGCTTTTCCTAAGTATGGTCCCACAAGTAGTATGGCAACAGATGCTCTTAATTCAGCTACGGAAATTTTAAGTGATATCTGAACAAACATTTTATTATCTTTGTATTGACTGGTGTGTTTCTTTTAATACTCAATTAGGAAGTACAAAATAAAATGATTAGCATGATAGGGAAAATAAACACGTGAACCCCGTGATTGTACAGGTACTATTGGTGGAGTAGTACAGGGGTTGGCAAATAGAAGAGCCAATCTTGTTGCTTACAATTTAAAAATCATTTGAGAGCCATCAATATATTTATAAACAAATGAAATCATCATCTGAAAACAAAATTATAACTTTATTTTCATTTTCAATTTTACTTCAGAGCCATGTGTATATACCGAAGAGCTACATATGGCTCTTGAGCCTTAGTTTGCTGACCCTGGAATGTAAAGTTATGCATTGGGCTACTGACCACAAAGTCAGCAGTTCAAACTCACCAGACACTCCGAGGGAGAAAAATGAGGTCTACTCCTGTAAGGAGTTATAGTCTTGGAAACACAGGGGCATAGACTCACTATGGTTGGAAGTGACTCGATGACATTGGATAAGTATTATTTAATATGGTTCCTTTTTAAAATTATTTAAGTAAAATATTCAAGTATTTTCCTTTAAAATATTAAGTAAATAATAATATCGGTATGTAGCTAAGGCAAATATTATAGGTATGTAGCTAAGGTGGTTTTGTTCTGGCAATTTTTGATAGGTTCCTGAGAGGAAACACTTCTAAGATATTTCATTAATCAAAAATTACTATGATATACACTGAGGTAGTGGATGGACTTCAGGCCTCTACTCATACCCTCCCTCAATACAAGAACACTTTGTTCTAACAAAGTGGCACTCTGTGATGCTCACCCTCCCGGCACAATCGCTGAAGACAAAATGGGTGCATAAGCAAATGTGGTGAAGAAAGCGGATGGTGCCCAGTCATGACACCAGTGCTGCCTATCACTTCAGACTAGACCGGAGCATGCGCACAGGTACAGATAAGAGATCAGAGCTCACAACACACGGAATCCAGGAACAGGAATGGGAATAGTGATACGAGAGGGGTTGGGGGAAGGTGGGAAGGTGGGGGAGGAAGAAGGAACCGATCACAATGATCGACACATAACCACATGGCCCCCTCTAGAGGGACGAACAACAGAAACCATGGGGAAAGGGAGACAGCGGTCAGTGCAAGATATGAAAATAATAGTAATTTATAATGTATCAAGGGATCACAAAGGTGGGAGGGGGAAGGGAAAAAAAGAGGAGCTGATCCCAAGGGCTCAATAGAAAGTCAATGTCTAGAAAATAATAATGGCAACATATGTACAAATATGCTTGACATAACTGATTGTTACAAGAGTTGTAAGAGCCCCTAATAAAATGGGGAAAAAAGGGTCAGGAAATAAAAGATCAAAGTGGATTTTTAAAATATATATTACTGTGATAGAGTCTCTTAACTGTGAAATGACCTCAAAGGGATTCATCCAAACCATCCAATGACTAAGTACAGGTACCTTAATAATCTACAAAAGCTCCGCCGATAGCTCAGTCGCTGGCTAGCTGCAGCAACACTGGGAGGGAAAGGAGGCCGGGGCGGGAAATAAGCTAACGTTGCAGCAAAAATCAAGCATACAGCTCCAAATTCTGAAAGAGGAAAGAAACATTAATAGGGTAAAATCCTAACCACGCAACACAAAGAACCTAAACATTTCAAGTATTTATTTCTCTAACAAATAATTATTAAGCAACAACTAAGTCCTACAGATACAGAGACTAGTAAAATATAGTATGTGGCTAGGATAACTCAGTCTAGTAAGAACAACTGGTATGCAGAGAGATGTCAGTAGGACAGAGGTAAAAAGGTCACATAAGCCAAGAATAGTGGGGTACTAGAGTACACCAAGGGGACCACTAGTGGCACAATGGTGAAAGCGCATGGCTGTTTACGGAGAGGTGGCGGTGGTGTTAGTCTGAACATGCATGGTGATCTGCTCCCACAAAGACTTACAGCCTAGGAAACGCCACGGGGCGGCTGAGTCTGAATCCAAGGTGTACACGTGGTATACGACGTAGGCAAGACTGAAGCAACTGTAGACTGTTACTCTTAAGGGAAATGCACTAAAAACCAACAGTGCCCACCATAAAAACGGACGGTGAAACCTAAGTCTAGGATGATCGTCTTTAAAAAAATGGTACTCAGAAAGAAAGAATATGATGAAAAACCAAAACAAAACCTGGTAAGGATTGGATAAGAGGGTTTGCTTGACCCACTGTCGGTCACTGTTCTGATGTACAGTGCAGGTCAGGCCCAATTTATTGGTGATATCGGAGAATGGAATATAACAAGAAGCATCCAAAAATAAGAAATCAAGAGACTGGATAGAATTTAAATAAAATACTGTAAAATATTAAATGTTAGGAAACAAAATGAATATCCAAATCATCTTCGTTTGGCTTCAACAGAGAAGGGACGGTTTCTGGGAGTTCTTGGCACTGCTCAAAGGGTGTTTAACACTTGCAAGTCCAAGTTTTTATGCCCAATTAGTGAAGGGGGAAAAAATAGGTACAGTATTCATACAAGACACTCGACCGCAGATGCTTTTATTTAGTTCAATCAGAAACTGAAAGACTGTTAACGCATTCACTTGGGGAGTGTGTGGATTTTCAATCTCTGTAATCTTTGTTAATCTGAAAGAAAACAAAAAAATAGACCTTTTCCCCCCACAATTCTTTTCGTGATTATAGAGGAGACTCGTGAGCGTGGTGATTAAGCGCTCATCGGCTACACTCGCCGTCAGCGGTTCACCCATCAGCTGCTCTGGGGGAGGAAGCTGTGGGAACCTGCTTCCCTACCGTTTCCAGCAGGTCAAGTCTGTCTACAGGGCTGGTACGAGTTGGCATGGACGAGATCGATGGCAATGGGTTTTCTGCTTTGTTTCTGCGGGAGACTGTCATGTAAGACGAGCGAGAACTTGACTCCAGACATACCAAGAGAAGGGGCTCAGAGAACGTTCTGGAAAGGTCACTATCCTCTGTTAGTGGGGGCCGGGGGTGAGAAACTGTAACTTAAATGTAGGGCAATGAGGTCAGAGAACTCGGACAACCAAGGGGGCACTCAAAGGAGGAAATGAGCTCAGTGCTTACCAAGAGCTGTTTGACTATTAATCAAGATGGCTACTTTTATATATTGATTAGCTATCTAGGGAAGTCTCTAGAAAGTGTGCCATGCAGTGCTCAACTGTAAACGAATGGGCAAGAGAAGTAAAGTTAAGAAATAACCTGTCAGGTAAGACAACACTTTAACCTTAATAACTGCCTAGAAAGGGTACACGTTTTAAATTAAGATCTCTACTCTATTATGTGGAGCTATCCATAGGAGCCTCCTTAAATATTTGATATGAAATGACCTGGCACACACAGCAGAGTGAAAACTGGGGTTAAAAAACAAATCCTAACAGCAAGAAAACAGGCTTCAAAGTACCTGTATACAGCACAGTGTCTATGCGATCTTCGATGTGGGCCCTGCTGCTCTCCGCTGCCAGAAGAGGAGCCGTCCCGTTCGGAGCCGGGACGAGGAGGGGGCCGACCAGAAACGCACACGCCCCGCCCAGGTAGCTGAGCATGGACGCGATGGCTGTGGCGGTGGCCCGCTCGTCGGCAGAAAACCACGTCGTGGAGAGGAAGGGAGCTGCGTTCATCACCGTTGGGCCTGCCAACCCATTTAACAACTGTCCTGCGTGGATCAGTCTGGAAGTAAAAAGAAAAAAAATTATAAAAGCCGTGTGGTAGCCAGAGCAGGCACGTTTCTAAGGCAGAAAGTAGTCTGTCAAACGGCAGTTTACCTATGGCGATGAGCATATGTCTGTAAACAAAACGACACACCTGACAGGTACAGTCCACTGACAGTCTGTTGGGGAGATCAAATGTAATCATTCTTAGCATTTATTCAGCTCCCAAGTATTTACTGAAGCTACTGATTTGTGCCACGTAACAAGCGAGGCACTTTCTCCCACTCCATTTTATCTAATCCTTATTAAAAAAAAAAACAACATTATGTGGTAGCCATTATTATCCCTATTAATCATTATGAAAACCTAAGTGCAGAAAAAAAATTTTAAACTTGCCCAAGTGTTAAGGGGTAAAGTAGAGATTAAGACCCAGGTCTGACTCCAAAACTCATCCTCTTTCTACTAATTGGCTGCTCATAAACAGATGAACTAAGTGCCACCTGCCCTACGAATAATCAGCTGAGCCCACCAGTTCATGCCTACTTTGTGCCAGCTCTTAGATGTATAACATATAAACTAGCGTTTGAGTATCTTCTGGTTGACAAGCAGCTGTTTCAAGAGCCAAGAAGCCTGGGTTCCCACCCAGCCCTGCAACTAACCAGTTACGGAACGCACCTGGGAAAGAAGAGGACTCGTTTAAATTCAATACGCGTTGACTGAGTACCTGCTCGGTTAAGGAATGATAACCATAGGACCTGTGAGCCCTTGGGTGGTACAAACGTTACTGTGCTTGGCTGTTAACCAAAGGTCGGAGGTTCGGGTCCGCCCGAGGTGCCTTGAAAGGCAGTGCTGGCGATCTGCTTCCTGACACTCCGTCACTGAAAAGCCCACGGAGCGCACGGGTGCCCTGACACACATGGGGTCTCCCTGCGGCAGAACTGACTTGAAGGCAGGCCGTTTCTGGTTTAAACACAGGACTCCAGCTTTGAATATTCTGATTCTGACTGTGGCTGTTAGGATCAGTGGAGAAGTAGTCACTAGATTCCACTCCATCTGTTCTGCTGTTTTTCCCTCAATATTCTACTTCGCTCTCTCTCCTGTTCCTTACTGAGCCAATTCCTTTTCCTCTTTGGAAACATTCCCATTCAAGGGTAGCTTTGAAGCGGGACAGGGGGGAAGTCAGGAATCCAAAAGTACAGACAAGACAGGTAAGCAAATCAAGCTGCGCTCTCTGCCTTAGAAGCAGAGGAGAGAGCAGTCAGCCCATGCCGCGGTACTGACTATCGCTTGCGTCCTGCTTGTCCTGCTTTGTAAGTACCACATGGGAGTCGAGTACCTCTCTTTAACAGTTGGCCCCTTAAGCCACTTACAACACGTTTTCTGAGCACAGAAGTAAATAATAAACAGGCATCTGAGGGGAGGGTGAGCAGAAATGTAGACGCATAAGTGAGTGGGACGTGAAGTATATGAGTCAGACCTGCCGCTATCTGTGTATAAGTGTGGAAGAAATTATTTGAGGGCAAAATAGCTGCAAATAGCATTGGTGTTACTAAATTCAGAAAACTAAAGGTTTTTTTTTATTTTTTAATCTTCTTGTGGGAGGGCAGCGATTTTCTAGATGACGGAAGCCATTGAACTGTCTCTGAATCCAAACACTCCTCCAAATGCCAGTGCATCCCAAGGTCACACAGCAGTGGCATCATGGAGACACCCCTGAAACCACGCCGGGAAGTGGTTTCCATCTCGGCCTGCGGTGGCGTGACGGTCAGGCAGCGCGTGCTGGCTCATCCGGCACCTGCTTGGCTATTTCACATCTTTACTGGGGTGATCCTGAAAGACTCACCTCCTCCAGAAGAAGGGTTACCAGGAGTACATTTTCTTCTGCCTAAAACGTTACAGGGAGAAGGAGAACGTGGAAGGACAGTGTTGAAAAGAAGACGCTCGACTGGCAGAGCAGCATGACTCTGGAGGGAAGGTGCAAGACTCAACTGTTCGCGGTGGCATCACGGTGTCCTCTCAGGGAACCGGGACAGGGTCTCTTTCCACTCAGTGGACGTGTGGAGGGGCCTGGCAGCACAGGGGAAGCCCTCGGCTGCGGGGGGAACAGTGGGCCCAGGAGGAACGCTCCCTGGGAGAAAGATGAGGCGTCTATTTGCTGAAAGGTTACAGCCTGGGAAAAGGCGGAGGAGCAGTTCTATGTCCTGTTGAGAACTCGTGAGCTTGCAGGGATTTTAGGATCATCTAAGTCCAATTTACTCATCTCACACCAGAACATCTTTTTTTTGGCTACAATGTCATACAAGTGCTAAAATGGTGTTGGTCATGGAGATCCAATGCCGCTACCACAGGACATTCCAGATGGGTTCTTAGTCTAAAGGTCACAAAATTTAGGGGTCTAGCCTAAATTCATATCATGAAAAATCATTGCAGGAATTCAAACAAGCATCAGCAGGTGTTTAAAAATTACTCACTATCGAAATGTTTCCTCCATGAAAAGTCACACAGACTTCACCACCAGCTCAGTGGGACATGGGCTGACTATCGAATCCATGAGAAGGCTGGCAGGGAACCCCTGTCTGCTCTTACCAGCATCTTTTAGGAACCTGAGGAGCTGATACCAAGGGCTCAAGTAGAAAGAAAATGTTTTTGAAATGATGATGGCAACATATGTACAAATGTGCTTGATACAACTGATGTATGTATTATTATAAGAGTTATAAGAGCCCCCAATAAAATGATTTATTAAAATTAAAAGAAGAAGAAGAAACTGGCAGGGGCGGTTCTACCCTGTCCTATGAGGTCACGAGTTGGCCTGACCCAATGGCAGTGGGAATCTGTAATACCAACATTTTCATGCTTGTGAAACACCGTCATTTATTATTAATCTCAATTTATCCAATCAAATTACCTGTAAAAACAAATGTAAAAATCCACTTCATATATAAAATCAAATTTTCCCTCCAAGGGAAAGAGGGACCATATTTAAAGTCAATGCCAGAGGAGTGCGGCGTGCCAGCAAGGAGTGGGGAGCCAGTGGAGGGGCCTGAGGGCTCAGCCCCATACCAGCTACGTGGACAACTGCCCCTCCCCCCAGAAGAATTTACTTGAGAGAACAGCACTGAAGCTGCAGCTAGGGGAGAGGGGCATGTCCGATCAGAGCACATGGGAGCAAACGAAGACATTAAGAGAAATCATAAAGCATGACAATAAACTCTCAAGAATGACAATAAAGGAGATCTTATATTTATAAAAATGTTTAATATATGCTGCATACATTATTTAACTCACTCATCAAATATGTATTATTTATTTACTGTGTGCTAGGACAACACTGTGATAGACCTATGAGAATAAAAAAATAAAAAGCTAAACCCTTAAGAATCCCTGAAGAGTCACCTAACAGCATATGCTAGGTCTACAAAGAAAAAGAAGGTCATCATTAGGACCATCGCAAATGTTTATAGGGTCTGTGACAAGAGTGCAAATGTGGGTCCCCAAATGTCCTTATTCTCTTCTGATCCCTGGCTCTGGCCTTCATGTCAAGGAATTCATATATGTGTGGAGCTAAAAATTCAAACTCCACTTTAGCTCCAATCACCCCTTCCAAATAGCTGTCCCCTTATCACCCACTGGGTCTAGGGAGTATATACATCAGGGGTGCAGCCTGACCTGGGAAAGAGGCTTGTTGCAGGGATTTCTGGGAGCCCTCAGAGCACAGTAGTGAAAGTGCTTGACTACTAACCAGAAGGTCACCAGTTTAAGCCCACTGGCTACTCCACAGAAGAAAGATGTGGCAGCCCGTTCCCATAAAGATATACAAGTTTGGGAAGCCTATGGGGTAGTTCTGCTCTGTCCTGCTGGGTGGCTATGAGTCAGAATTGACGGCAGTGGGTTTGGGTTTGGGTGTAGCTAGAGTACGGACTAGAAGGCAGCAGCAAGGATGGATCTTCCCCTGGGATAGTCAGGCTGAAGGCAAGTTATAACGGCATTCTCAAGCATGGAGACCCTGCGGCGTAGTTCAAAGGCAGTATTGGTAGCAGCAGTGGGAACATGGAGGAAAGATGGCTTAGAGAACTGTGATGGCCAGGTGAGTGATTAGATGTAGATGGGAGGATACCCACACCTATAACAATGTCCAATAAGTGGATGAATATAGGTCAGAAGCTAGGGCACCTGAGTAGAGGTGTGTGTTGAGGTTGGGGTCCAAATACTAGAAAATACCCACGCTAAAGGCACAAGCAGAGGAAGTAGAATCCATAAAGACGACTGAGAAGGAGCACCGGCGGGGGCAGGAAAGCAATGAAAGAGGAGCATTTGAAAATGCCAGTGAGTTTCAATAGAATGAAATAAAACAGAAAGACCGTTAGGATAACTGAAAGGTAACTGCTAGCTTCAGCCACACTGTAGGAGCAGCTGCCATGGAATGCTAAGGATGGAAGTCAGCCGAGGAAAGAGCAAAAGAAGTCTCTAAGTTTGGTAAAAGGTAGATAAAGCACCCAGCTTGTGAAGGAGTTAGTCTACACTGAAAAGTCTCACATCTTCCATCTATAAGAAGTAGAATCCAACTTGTGGTTGTCTTAATGCTTTCCAAGCACGTGTGAGACTTGGTTTCAGAAATGCACACCTGCTGCTCTGGGCTGACGCTGATGAAACATGGTCTACATCCTGATTTGGTGAGTAGCAGCTGGGATCCGAGAAGCTTGTGAGCAGCCATCCAAGGTGCATCTCCTGGTCTCCTCCCATCCATCGGGCCAGTGAGTGAAGAAAGTCAAAGGCACGTGGAAACAACGAGTCCAACGGCCCAGGCAGAGCCAGCCTCTCTGAGGCTAAGAACAGAAGCAGTCGACGGTACTCGGCTGCCACTATGGAATGCTCTCACCAGGATCTCATTCACTGCTCCCGGGCAAAGAGGAGAAAAAAAGTGGAACAAAACTAAACACCATAAAAAAGACTAGTGTACGGGCCGAATAGAGATTGGTAGAACCCCAAGTGTGTGATCCTTAGTCACTCTTCAGGTCT